CTCCCCACTCTGTCTCTGGTGAATCCTCTCACCCTCCACATCTCTGGCCTGTACCCCAGTTCTGTATGAATAAATAAATAAATCTTTAAAAGTTTCCTTGTGCTGCCTGCCAGTCAACCCCTATGGAGGCAACCTGTATGATTTCTACGTTTATCAATAAAGGTTAGTTGTGCCTTTTCTTGGAATTCATATAAGTAATGCCATACAGTATATGATATATTTCTGGCTTCTTTCCCTTGACAATAACTTTTGAGATTCATCCCCTATAATGAGTAATAGTAGTCTGGCTTTATATTTTATTGCTAAGTTGCATACTATTATACACTATAGTATCGGACATTGTGATTTATTTACCCATTCTTCTGTTGATGTTTATTTGAGTTGTTTCCAGTCTGGTGTTCTCATGAAAAAAGTGGCCATGAACATTCCTGTATATGAGCTTTTGTGGACACGTTTCTCTTAGGTAAACATCAGTAGTAGAATTGCTCAGTCATAGGGTAAGCACATGTTTAAGAAAGTGGCTGTAGTGTTATATTTTCTCACCAACAATGCAGAAGAGTCCTATATCTTGTACACACCCTTCCTATTAGTTTATTCTGCAGTTATATGGAGAAGACAAATACCAAGCCCTGACATTTGAACAAATTGCTTCCAGGAGATAATAAAATTATGTTGCATTTTCTTTTCTTTTTTTTAAATATTTTGCATTTTCTTAAAATAAAAATTTAGTTTACAAAATTTTCTCCTTATTCTTTAGTGCAAAGAGTAACCAGATCTATCACTGGTAGCTGTGGAAAGGGCTTTTCTGTAAAGATGTTTGAGTAAACCCCAAGATCAATTGTTACCTCGATAGTTTGCAACTATAATACAACACAGCTAATACTAAATGTTACTCTGTGCCAGCCAATAGTCTTTTGTTATCTCAGAAGAGTGTGGAACACGTGGGGTTCAGAGATGGTAAGGGAGAAGGGTGTTCAAGGAACCCACAGCACAGCAGGTGTTCAAATGCAGATAGGGCTGACTCCACCCACACGTGGTCTGGCCTTTAGAGCAAAGTGTGCTCTATCCAGGATGGAGGCCCAGGCAGCCTCCCTGGTGGGTGATGAGCTGCATCATCAGAAAAAGGAATCCCATCAAGTGCCCAAACTCCCTATTTTATTTTATGTGAGTCTTCAACAACTTCACTTGCTGCGAATAATCACGGGTCACTGGAGTCAGCTGCCTGAGGCTGAATGCCACAATATCCTGCTTTCTGTCACACCCTTGCCCTGCCCTGCCACTCTCCAGCCGTGGCCAGATGTGATATGAGCCTACTGCCAAGACCTTTCCCCCTCCCTAAACCCCTTCCAAATTTATTTCTCTAGGATTTTTAGCAAAGCTTGGTGAATTCTAAAAAACATAACCCCAGGGCAAGACCCAGCTAAGAGTGCTGAGAGCTGCCAGCTGGGGCCAGCACTTTCCTCCCCCAAACAGCCTGCAAACAAAAATCTTTTTATAGCTCTGCACAGTGATGTGACACTTTGTTTTCTCAGCATCCGAGGCAGCTGACAGCCCAATGGGGAAATTCAGATGCTTCAAAGCAAATTATTTGACCACAGCCTCCTTTCCGAGGGTAAAAATGACCTTCTCAATGCGGGCATGCTGCCCTGGAGGGCAGCACAGAGACACAGTGGTTGGGTCAGTTCCGCTTCTCTGCCCATTTTGTTCAAGGTCAAGGATCATGTTAATTCTCTAGTCATCCCCAAAGTTAGACAGAAAGGGCGAAGAATTTCAGTCATATACTCCAGAAGGATGAGGCAGGGGTCAGACCAAAACTCCTTAACGTGAATGGCAGGCTCTAAGGCAGCTGTAATTGTTTCTCATTTCTCTCTCTCTCTCTCTCTCTCTCTCTCACACACACACACACACACACACACACACACCCTGAAATATAAATTGCTTCACAATTTTTAAATTGCTTTATGAGTAAGTTTGTTAGAAATCCGTTCTTGGGAAGGGCTATCTTTTGAGAGTGTGTATTTCTACACTTTAGTATTAAAACAACAGTAGCAACAGAAAGGCTGCCTCTTTATGGACTTTTTTTGGGAAGCATTAAAGGATGACAACCCCCATGTTGGCCCTTCCCTCACCACTGCCACACCCCTGTGGCCCGCTGATGGCAATGCTATTAAAACAACAACGACAACAACAACCCTCTGCTGTCATCTAAACATTAACAAATGGAAAGACACGGTCTCAAGAAAGGTTTGCCAGGATCTGGAAGAGAGAATACTCTTCAAGAAGTTGTTTGGGATCTCCCTTGCCTCTAGGTGGATCACACAGAGGGCAACTTTCAGGGCTACAATTGTGTAGACAGCAGAATTTCACCATATGCTGCCAGTGTGTGCTGCCGGGATACTCTGGCTGTCCTGTCTCCCTTTGGGAAAGAAACTATTGATTCAATTCAGTAAACACATTTATTAAATTCCATCAGTTTGTCATCTCCCCTTCTATATACTATGGAAGATACCAAAGCTCCACACCTCAGACCGTGCAGCCCTGGGACGGCGCACGACAGCCGTGGAGGGACCTACCCAAAGTGCGTGCCGTCGCGATCGATGAAGTACCGGCCCTCTGCATCGGTGGGGATGTAGTGCCGCCCGCTGAACATGGCTGCCAGCATGGTGTCCTCGTATCGACGCAGGGTGGACAGGCGGGTGGTGAAGTGAGCCCCTCCGATGTTAAGAGGAACCACTTCAGGAAACTAGAAAGGAACCACCGGCATCCTCAGCCAGGCCGTGGGGAAGACAGCTGGGGCTGCTAACTTAGGTCCTCTTGGTGAGTGCCACACCATTCTGTCACCCCAGGTCAAAAACCCAGGGATTTTCCAAACATTTGCTTCTCCCTTTATCTTTTCCTTTCTCCCAAAAATCAGCTCTCTCCATCCCAACTCCACTGTCTCTGCTCCGGGGCCCAAATCCTTCGTTTTCTTTCTTTCACGCTTGAACTTGGCATTGTTTTTGTGTCCTTGCTTGCGCTTTCTTTGCTCCACATGCCCTTACCACTCTTCCCGAGCCCACCAGCAAATGCATGTGTCCCATATGGTGCTGCACGTTGCTCACTGAGTGACGGCCTGAGCGTGCAAACCCAAGGCACCCTGTGAGTTAACAGCACCCCCCTCATCCAAAAAGCTGCTATTCAAGTTCCCCTATTTGTGAGCATTTCTGCTCTACTGTTCCTCATGTGACCCCAAGACAGAATTAACTGAGTATTCCCTCCACCATGCCTGCACCATGTGTCCACTCTTAACAGTACCCAGCACCACACTCTGGCACTCATCATCTTCTGTCCGGCCGCACTACCTGGCCCAAGCTCCCAAGATTGGCAGGGGCAGTGTACTGTCCACCAGTCTTGAGGAGGACACCTACAGCAGGGCTTGTAGGCGCTTCCAGGCACCCATCCCTCATTCTCTGTGCCTCACTCTGCTCCCACTTAATCTGTAGAGTGAGAAGATTAGTACCCAATCCAGCTAAGCTTCTGGCGGCAAAAGCAGGGTGAGGAACAGGAGGAGTGATGGAATAAAAACGTTTTCCTTTTCATTTTTTAAATATATCTTTGACTGCTTGTGGTTTTTATTCAATTGCATCTGAAAGAAATAAGACCAATGCCAATTGTCTCACAAACCTGCTTCAGATTAACTAAAATTTTATCCCAGTGCATACTTTCCAATACTATGACATCTCTCTAGCTCCACTTAAAGTCTATGTATATTTATCAAGACAATTTTTTACACAAATCCTTTGTGGGGAAAAAAGTGGGGTACAAATATATCAAATGAAAGTAACCCAGGGCCTTGCGCAGTGTCTCACTCACATTAAAGGCCCAAATATGCATTGAATGAGTTAATGGAGTAGTTCTGTGTATGTCTGTACTGTATCTTCTGCACCCAAAGGCCAGGAAATGCCTTTTGCTTATTCTAAGCTCCGCTAAAATCATTCTCTGCACTTAGCAAGCTCTTAAATATTATTTTTTAATAATAATACACAATTTACATTTCTGGAGTTCTTTATCCCTTTTCCAAGGGCCTCTCATCTCAAATCAAGTGCTTGTTCCACATTAGATACAAGAAGGTTAAAGCAGAGAAGAAAAAGCAATTGAAAAGTCTTAACACTCAGACACAGCTATGAATCAGGGGAGGTGGCCCCCCAGCCGTGGCCTACAGTCTCTGGGTCCTGTGCTCTTTCTCTCTGACCACCACATTCCCTCTGACTATGAACAAAACATTTCTTGTTTTTCCAGTTGCAAAGAATGCCAGAGCTGTAGTCATTTTCATAAGTGTCTTGTGATGATGGGGGTACAGGGCTTCCAACCCTAAGAGGATACCATTTGCTTCCCAAGAGCCTGGCCCAGTCCTGCCCTCTGGGGCTCTGTCCATTCCTTAAGGATTCCACAGGGGGCCCTCCCTGTTGGTGCAGCTAGTTAAAGCACAGCACTATGAAGCTAAAGCCACTTCAGCATGAGTCAGATTCCCAGCCAGGGAGGTGACCCATGTGGCAGGGAGGTGACCCACATGGCTTGGCAGACCTCTCCTGACCCGCCTGCTGCTCCCCTCAGCAGTGTACTTTGTCAGTCAGCCTGTTCTGCTCCCCACTCTGTCTCTGGTGAATTCTCTCACCATCCCTGCACCTCTGGCCTGTACCCCAGTTCTGTATGCATAAATGAATAAATCTTTACTCCACAGCCCCATTCCCATAGCCTGCACTACCTTAGCCCCAACCTCTGTCTCTAGTGCCCGGCAGCACCCCTCTTCTCTTCTCTTTTCCCTACTCCTGCAGTTATTTCAGGTGTGTTAACATGACAGTGTCACACCGTGCATCGCAGGACCGCACTCCGGGAAGGAAACCCTGGGGCAGCCAGATGGGCATGGACAGTTCATTAACTGACCTTATCTACACACAGCCCCTCACCCATTCTCTGGGCAACTGAGTTTCGGCACCCACAAGGCCCTCTCTTGGACCGCATTCTCTGGAAGGCACAATCATCTTTTGGAGCTCCAAGGTCCCCTTCCCACGCCTACTCTCCCCATCCCCTGTTGGCATGGGCGGGGCATAGAGATGGGAGTAAATGAACCTAACAGGCAGTGAGTTTGGGAAGAGAGGGATGGGTGGCACAGATCAGAAGCATTTTACTGGGGTGAATGGGTGCAAGAACGCAGCTCCTCTGGCTACTCCGTCAGCCCAGAGGACCCCCAACCCAGCACTGCTCACACTCCAAGGTCAGTTCTGCCCAGCATCAGCGCTTCTCCGCTGCTCCTCCTCGGGCCCCACCCCTCCCTCCTCCGTCCAAGTACCTCCTGGGGCACGAGGGGCAGCGCATGCCCCGCCTGCGTGGCCGTCGGGGTGGCCGGCTCCAGAAAGTCGTCTTCAGCGTCGGAGCTGGACATGGCACCGTCTGGACGCCGGCTGTCTGGCTCCCGCCCCGTGACTACCACCATCCCTCTGGCTCTGGGCAGTGGGCGCGGCTGCGAGTGGGCGGGCGGACGGCGGCCGGAGCACTAGCGCCGAGCAGCGCCTGGCATGACGGGCGCGGCCGACGGGTGGGGCCGGAGGGTCAGCGAGCGCAGCAAGCGCGGGCCGGACGCCGGCCGCTCCCTCAGCGCCGACCGGCTCCCGGACCACCGCGCGGACCGCAGGGCCACCCGCCTGACCCAGTCGCCTCGGGCTATTGGCCGAGACCCCGCTTGTTCCACCTCTGATTGGCAGGCAGCTCGTCCAGTGCCGGAGCTGGCAGCGCTCCCCTGCGCCTGAGTGGCCACTGGGAGGCGGGCCTGCCTGCATGCCCTGTTCTGATTGGTCATCGGGCCAGCGCGCTCGCCCTCTCCACCCGCTAACCCTCGCCCCGCGCGCCCGCCGCTGTGCGCTGCCACCGCCTCTCAGCCGGGCCTCCTGGGCCTTGAGCGTGGCGCTGGCATCTGCACCGGCTCCTAGTAAGGCGAGGGGGGTGTGTTCTTATGTCTCCTGGGCAGCGGGACAATGCCTCTGTGGGCGTGGAAGCTCAGGGACATCTGGGAGGACCAGTTCACCTCAACGGAGACGGTGGAAGGATGCTGGGGGTGTAACGGGAGGACGCCGAGGTCGCTGGGGTTTTAAGAGGAAGGGCAGCGCTGCCGCGGGGGCTTACCCTCCCTCCGCAGGCTCTGACGGCAAATCCTGGGTTTCCAGTCCTGCCTGATCGACTCACGCAGGAATACTCAAAATAGGAACTGTCGAGTTCAGTTACTGACAGTGACTCTCCACCCTCTGTGGGGCTCCTGGACATGGATGGAGACAGGCCTTACCCAAAGAAGCGCAAAGGCTCGCCTGGCCGAGGCCAGACTGATCCAATACATCTGTTTGCAGCGTTGGTGGCTGTGTAGGTAGGTAGGGGCTGGGTCAGCTCAGGGACCTCCTAGGAAGCAAGATTTCAGCCCTTTCAAGCCGTCTTTCTACCTAGTTTCTCATCTGGTTCTCACCCTGTTGTACGGGAAAGGAAGCAGATTTAGAGTATTATAATATCATCAGGGAGGCCCGCAATAAGCTGGAGGCAACGTGGAACCCAGCTGTAGCAGTTGGATAAGTGTCTTCTCTAACTTTGGTTGCATCAGAATCACTGGAGAGGGCCTTGTTAAAATACAGTTCCCAGAACCACCTCCAGAGCATCTGACTGGGAGGTCAGGGGGGGAACCCTTGAATCTAGGTAATTCTCTTGCTACAGGTCCATAAACCACATTTGGAGTAGCTCCCCCTTTGAGAAAGTCCTCTGAGGCCTTAATCTATCACTGAATGTTCCAGCTTTTCTCAAAACTTGTAACAAAATGTCCTCTATCCATCCTTGTAACATCGGATCTTTCAACTAGAAACTGCAACTAAATGTTTAAAGAGAATTTTCTTCATATAACAAGAAGTCTCAGATAATCCTGGATTGGTTGATTAAGCAACTCAGCAAGGAGTTAGCTGAACCATCTCCTTCCACTTATCCACTGTGCCACATAGCTTCTCCCCTCCCCCAATCCATATGAAAAAACCACGGATTTAAGGAGTTATCAGTATTTCAACACCTTCCATCCCAGAGGCTCAGGAGGTAGGAAAATCCATGAGCAATCAGTTTTACATTGCTGGATATATTGGGTTTTTCATTTTCAATATCAACTGGAGATTTCTGCTAGGAAAATACATTCAAATTTTCCCAGTTGGCCCTATTTACATAAAGGGGGTGAGGCGGGAATCCAAGGTCAGCAGTCTGGAATGAGGACTGAGTGAGTAGGAAAGGGTTGGAGCAGGCTTTCTGGGAAGGCAGGGCAGTTTGCTGGCAGCAGTTTTCCCTACTCCCCGGGGAGTGACTTTCAGACCAGTTCACAGGAGGGTTTCAGGTGAGCCTGAGGAAGGGAGGCAAAGCTTGCGCCCAGGCAGAGGTGAGAGCTGAGAACACAGGCAGTTACAGCCCTGGGATTATTCTCCCGAGAGTCAACCAAGCAGCTATATAGACATCAAGTCCTGAGTTTTGTAAATTGGATATTTTCCATGCCTCTGAAAAGAAAAGACATTTTGATGCTGAAAAATCTCCAAAGTGCTGCTCCAGTTCCCAAATTTTCCCTCCTGATTCTAACTTACTGAATAAACACTTGAACAATAAAGGAAATGAAAACAAACAAAAGCATCCGCCTTCTTTTCCACATGACCTTTTAATTTTGATAAATTTGAGACATAGACACAGATAATACATGAAAACCCATGTGTTCACTTCTCAGCTCATGAAACAGTTTTATTTGCACATACCCTCCTAATCTCATTCCCCACCTTCCTAACTATTTTTTAGTTGGAATATAATACAATGTAGTGTTAAGCTATCTATGTACAGCTTGACAATAATTAAGAAGAGGGGATCCACTACTAAATCAAGCGATGGAAGTTTGTCTCCTGCTCACCACAACCCCCCCTTGAAGATAACCTGCATTCTCCCAGAAGTCACCACTCTCACTTCTTTGACAACCATTTCCTCATTTTCCAAGCTTAGCCGCCTTCGTATGCATCTTTAAGCAATGCAGTTTAATTTTAGCTGATTTTGGACTTTGAATCATAGTACTGCTGATGAATATTTAATTACTTACAAGCATTGCTTTCTGACAAATGACACTGCTATGAACTTTATGTCCCATGCTGCTCTGAACATTTTATAACAGATTATGTCATTTCCCCTATTAAAAGTTCTTCAAGGGAATCTTTGTTTCAGACAGGGCTGAGGAAAGAAATTTGATTTTGAGTGACATTAGAGGAAAATGGACAGCAAAGAAAAAGACCAATGCAAATACTTTATGGAGGAGTTTTGCTACCACCCAGAACTCTTCTACCTCCCAAGTTTAAACTCTGGTGTGTCAATCTTGGGTCACTAGACACTACCCTTCCACCTTTCTCCCCATACCTGGTTTACTTCATCTCTACTTACCTCAGACTGGGAGTTCCTTGTCCTTCCACTCTTCTTCTCTTTAAACATTTTTTTTCTCCTATCCTACCTAGACCCTATGTGTCCACTTAAACATGTCTTTGGGGGGATGTCTCCATGTGTTCGTTGCCTCTACTTTGTCCATCACCTGACTGTTCTCTAAAACTGGTAACCATATATTAACCCATCAGCCTTCTGTGCTGTGTGAGTGGCACTATCATGTGAGTTAGTGCTGATATAAAGACAAAATTAGCTCACAGTGCCATCAGGGCACCTGTGTGTGTTTCCTCTATCAGCTTCCTCTTAAAAAAAAAAAAAAGATATATATATATAAAGATATATATATAATTAACATATAACATGTAAGTTTCAGGTATACAATATAGTGATACAATATTTGTATATATTGCAAAGTGATCACCTCAATAAATCTAGTTCATCCAAGTCAGATCTTTTCCAATCTTAAATTCTTTTTCAAAGCCCCTCCTCACTCCAAGAAATCCCCCTCCTTCAAGCAAAAGGCAATTTGACTTTTATTTCATAGAAAGACAGAAGCTATCAGTCACAAAGAACTCAATTTCCTGTCACCTCACCCACAAGTTAACTCTGTCTGCAGAATTCTATTTCCTCAACCTGAGGAAGATGTTCCTCTTCTCTGGTTTGAGGCTAATTCTTCCAGTGAGGAGCTCTCTTTTCTAGGATAGCTTCTTTAAGTCATTTTGTCCTCCACCCAGTTTGATCTCCCCCAGCACCTGACTCGCCCCTATTCATTCGCCACATAAATTCCTCAGTCTGACTTCTCTTTCCATAGTTCAGTTGGTAAGTGAACAGTGGAAGTGAGCCTCACTAAATGCTAGAAGCTTGATTTCTAACAGCAACATTTCCCAGAGTACTCTGTGTCCTATGTTCCATGATGGTGAATTTTCACCAAGATCAATGCACTTGAGATTTGGAGGGGGAAAGTGAACCCTGATTAGGGTCACATTTCTTGCTGTTCCAGCAGGCAAGCTTGGACCATGAAAGTGTTAAAACTTTTCCCTTTTGTTCTAGCTAATGTAGAAATCCACATGTGGGTCCCTAGCTTCCTCCTTGTCAAAAAATAGGGTGGGGACATCCCTTTGGCAGTCTTACTAATCTCTATAATACAACATCCGGCAATGCCTAGTGTACAGTAGAAACTCAATAGATGAATACTCAAGGAAATTTGTGGTACAATCACATTCCAATAATTACCATACTCCGTAAATTTCTTCCTCCGCTTATCCATTTAGTGGTGTCTGTTTGGCTGAAACCTCAGGAGCTTCCCAGGTCTAACCTGAAAATGGCCTCTGTACACAGAAGGCAAGGAAATAAATACAGAAGAAGAAGGCAAACTGTTCCATTCTAGTAAGTGGAAGTTCTAATAACCAAAGAAATATCCTTAAAGGCTATGTTTTGGGTTGCTGAAAAACAAGTTTTCTGTAACTGACCCCCACCCATCTTTTATCTAGAAGCTTTACCTGGGTTTAGCCTCATGCTTCATCCAGGTGGTCTTAGCAATACATTTATCTCAGAGACATATCCTTGCACAGCTTCTGGAAGAGGGGAACGCAAGAGGAATAGGCAAGAGGAGCTCATGTTCCTGGGGACAGAGAGCACAAGAAGCCTCCCACCTTTTGGGTCAATTGGCAGTTACATGCTCTTTCCTGACTTCCCTACAAAGTATTATTTGTATATAAGGGTATGAGTTGTTATTATTATCATAGAGGTAAGGAATTACAGGATGCCATTGTGCTGGGGTGGTGGGATGTTGTGAGAGGTGCTAGAGGTTTTTATTCAGACCAGATCATTAAGAGAGGACCTTTGAGGTACATACTGATAATGATGTGTATCTTCACTGTGCAATATGACAAGAGTAGTGAAGAGACTTACATGTTGGCTTTTGATAAATGTTTAATATTTTCATTTATAATAACATGTAAAATATAGGTGCGAAAATAATTCCTGTCCAGAATTCCATGTAATCGTGTTTTATGAATTTGTTTTAAAGGCCCATAGTCGTCCTTTCAACATTGCATATTACTTTCTCATCCCTTCATGGCTCTTCAGAGCTCATCACAAAAAAAAAAAAAAAAAAAACAGCTCTCATCTTAGTCACCTCTGGAAGTATGGTCCAATCCCCCAGTAGGTGGGTGAGGATATTGGAACTACTTTTCCATTCTCCCTCCT